CTTTGAAAGTGCCTATTTTGTAAACAAACGGAGCCCAGGCCCAGCACTTGGGCTCTTTAGGTAATTTAAGACTGACTCCTGCTGCCCAAGTTGGGACAGACTCTTTTGGGAGTTGTGAATGGCAGAAGCGTCTTCAAGATTCAATAGATAGGATTGGTGATTTCTCAGCATTTGGGCTTCTAATCTATAATTTCAGAACACCCAAGATAGGTGTGCACAGAGTCTCAGACAAGTCCTGCTGGAACCAGAGTTAAGCCAAATGTCACCAGAATGCCAAATGGGCCTGCCAAGACTGCTCACTGGCTGTGGGGGTCAGGCAAATTAGTCAGGATGTCTAACTCCCAGAACTTCCAACCAGATTGAGCCTCTGGATGGAAACGCTGGTTGGGTGACTAAGGGAATGTAGGCACCAATCTGGCTGGTTTGTCTCAAAAGGGCTTGCAGGAGACATTTTTATTTGCCTGAAGCCTACACATTGGAATTAGATATTGCCTGCAATGGGAGGACCCTTGAAATTCCTTAATGAGTCTCTGTGTTGCAAATATAGGGAGCCCAAGGCCATGAGGAATGTGTTCAAGGTCATGCCGAGAGTGAGTTGGCATGTTGGGGACTGCTGGAGGCCTGTCACTTCCCCCAGTACCTCCCACTGCCTCAATCAAGGATTGGCAGTAGCTGCAAAGACCAGAAGCAAAATGGTTTCTGATTGTGATGATTTGAGAAAGGGCAGATTGAGATTCTTCAAACAGCTCTGGAAAAGAGTATCATCTAGAGCCATTGTGTGTAATTTGCAATCTGTCCTCCATGGTAGGCTCATTTTAAATGGTGGCAGACAGAGGACAGACAGCTACTCGTGTCCGTTCTATGTGTTGCAGTAACAAGATGGTGATGGATTCCTTGCTATGTGTATTTCTTTCACAAAAATATTCTGTTTCCCTCAGGGTACAGTACCAAGGTGTATGAATCGAGAGCAGAAGCACAGAATGACAATGTGGAGTGTGCCCTGTCCTTCTCTTCGATTGCACCCACATGCTTCGTTCTTCAGAGTTCAGGAAGCGAGATCCCGGGTTTACACCCCAGTTAAGCCATTCAACTTGCTGTGGTAGCACAGGTACAAGGCACAGGACACTGTGAAGCCCCGCAAGAGAACCGCTGTTGACGGCATGGGGCACCTGCAGGCCCAAACTCCCCTATGGGGGATAAGGAGAAGCAGAATCACCCCAGCTAGGGAGATGAGGGAGGCTCCTCATCCGGGGCCTGATGGAATCCAGCTGTAGGACCCACTCGCTGATTGACACAGTTTGACTAATGAAAACAGAAACAACTGCGGACTGATGAAGACGAGGCTACGCTTCACGGACACCTGGGAGAATACACGTAGGCAATAAGGCTGTATCCACACTCTCTACCGACCAGAAGAACAATAAATTGACAGGGTGTGTACCTGGAAGGAGGAAATCAGGATTGCCCACCTACCTTTGACACTGAGAGCCCACCCGCAAGTCTCCAAGTCTTGGGCGAGAGTTTTTCTGGCTCTTAGTCTGGTTTTGCTAGAACTCCCCACCTGTGGGATCTCTGACTCAGTAGCCGGGTTTGTGAATGCGCATGTGCCTGCACATGTGTGTGCAGAGAGAAGCACAGGGATTTCTGCTTTTGTGTGATGCTACTGACCTAGGAATTACACTTGTAAGGCTTCTGATACAGGAGGAAAGACAGTCTGCTTACAGATTGCTCACTTTCATATCTCGGCATCTTCAGACTATTCAAAAATACTCCCGACTATTTGTAAAGAATAATTTTAATTTCGACAACTGGCACGGCAGTGAGTAAAGAATGTCCCTGGGTGTCATAAATAGTCCTTTATTTGGTTGCAAACCAAGAAATAATTTCTTCTAAATTAGGAAAGTAAAATATTCTATTTGGGTACATTAGAAATTCAAAAAAGTATAAAAATGAAATAAAATGGAAATGCATTGCATAAAGATAATAGCTGTTCACGGTCACATTTCCCTCATTTTTGACCAATGAATATGTGACTATTGGCATCTAGCTCTTGGCACTAAACTTAAGCTATTTTCTAGACCTTGTTTTTTTGTGAAGTTATATATTTTTGCAACAAAAACAACAGCAAAAAAGCTCAAAAGAACAGCAACGCAAAGGGTATGTTGTGAAACTTATCTAGAGTAAAAATCTGCAGAAAATGCCATAGCTAAGTTGAATAATTTTTATTTGGAGGCTTTCGACTCTCACGGGTACTCATTATAACAAATGTATCTGAGTGGGGTGCTCTTCAATGCCTTCAGTTATGGTTTCATGGTTCAAATACTCCCACCACAACTCATGCTGAAGGTTAATCTTCTTTGTGGGAGATTAAGAGGCAGGCCCAGGTAAGACTTGTAAGAGGCAATTGGGTCATGAGAGTTCTACCCTAATGGATGCATTGATCAGTCTGTGGATTAGAAGGCTAATAGATTATCTTCAGAGTGGTTATCTCTAGGAACAAGTTGGTCCTGTCTCACGAATGCATCTTTCCCCATCACATGGTGATCTACCTTGACTAGGGATGCTGTAGAAAGCCCCCACTAAGAAAAATGGCCTTGCTAGGTGTGATGATTCATCTTGATTTTTAACTTGATGGGATTTAGAATCACCATGGAAACAATTCTTTGGCGATGTCTGTGAGTAATTATACTGGCTAATATAATTCCTATTGTAAGTCCCACATTAAATATGGGTGACAACATTCCATAGGCTGGGGTCCAAGACCAACTGAAAAGGAGAAAGTGAGCAGACGACAAGCATTCATTGCTCTCTACTCTTTGCCTGGTAGTATAAAGTGTCAGACGCCTCAACTTTTTGCCATCATGACTGTGATCTCCTACACCCTCGAACTATGAGCCAAAATAAACTCAAACTTTCTTTCTTAAGTTGATTTCGTCAGTTCTGTTATAGAAACAAGGCAAATAACTAATATTGGAAATTGGTATCAGAAGTGGGGTAAATAATACAGTAAACTTGGTTGTGTGGTTCTTAGATATTTGGAACTGCCTGTGGAAAAGACATTGTAGAGTCTGACACTTTGGGCTAGAAAAGCCCTAGCATACTGTAAGCAGAGGTTCTTTGGGGTATTCTGGTAGTTACCAGAATTTTGAGGGAAATGCATTCAGTGGAGGCCCAGCTCATGAGGTTTCAGGGGAGAATGTGGCCTATATTAGGAACTGGACTAGAGAACACTCATACAATATTCTGATAAAGAATCTGGTGGCATTATTCATACTTCTTGAGAACTTGGATGAGATTGAATACAAGAATAACTGACTAATTTGTTTAGTGGAAGTAATTTCAGGACAGGAGAGCTTTGTGGTTGTGGTATGATTTCTGCTTACTAGCACTTATCAAATCTATGATAAGAAGGAACAAAAAGGTGAATCAGAAAGGTGCTAAAATGTGCAGTTTGGAGACGAACCAACTATAAACAAGTTTAATCTTGCATATAAGTTAGCTTTGGAAGCAATTGTAATTGTTAAAGAGATTAGTGCCATTAATGATAAACCTGGCACTCTGCATTGGGATACCAGGAAAGATGTCTTGGGAGTAAGATCTTACTCCTCACAGACTCCATAGGTAAGAATGCAAATTAATTTGAAAGCAGAGACACAACAGAGTACCACTAAAATTGTTCTTTGTTCCTCAAAAGCAATTATGCCAGGAAGAATTTATCCTGAAATTGTAGAATAAGAGGGTCAAGCTGCAAGACAAGCTCTCAGTGGAGCTTGGCAACGAGGTTTCCAGTGAAAAGGGATGCAGACTGAGGAGGTCATGGAGTCTTGTATCATTGTTCCAGAGAGCCAGAGCATGTGTGGGAGGGTTGGAGCCCCTGTAGAGAGGTTCTCATGGGACACAGTTTCAAGTCATGAGTGTGAAGCCTATTACAGCAGTGACTACAGAATATTGGAGCTGTCAGAACCATCGTGCATCCAACAAGAAAGTTTTAGGCATAGAATAGAGCCAGTCTAAGAGAAAGGCTCTGTAGGCAGTGAAGCTGGAAGGGTGAGTCTACCTAAGTCGTTTGGGATGCTGAAGATTCCATCATGATCCTCAGATGCTGATCACAGAGGTTTGTGTTTGGTACTTTCTTTGGTGATGTTTGGTCTTGCTTTAGAACAGTTATTCCTTGCTATACTTCCATTCTTTCATTTTATTTATTGATTTATTAAACATGATTTTTAATGAGTCTTTGGGAATTTTATATCATGTACCCCAATCCCACTCATTTTCCAGCATCTCTGCATCTGTTCTTCATGCTTGCTGTGCCTTCCAAAGGAAAACTTAAAAGGACATAATACAAATACAAATAATAAAAAGTATAAATAAGAATAATGATTCAACATACAAAAGACAAAACCAAAAACAAAACAAGCAAACAAAACTCACTTCCTCCTCCATCTTTCCTACCTCTCCACTGGGAGCTGTGGTGTATCATGCAGTGCACTCTTTTGCCCAAACAGCTTTTCTTGCAATTGTCCATTGTGTAGTGTACACCATCAATGTTAGACCCTCACTGAATCTCCTCTCAGACATCTTGCTGTTGTCCCGAGTCATGGAGCGCCTGTAGCTATGGTTCTGCAGGGTCAGTCCCTTCAAGTACTCCAGTAGGTCACAGATAGGGTAGATGTTGGGGAGTACCCACCCAAAGTCCTGGATGTGTGCCTGGGTAGTAGTTGAGTTGGTCAGTATTGACTACTGAATTCATCCCTCTTGGGTGAAGGGTGGAGCCAGCTCTCTCATTCCCATGGTGAGGGGTAGGGCCACATTTCCCAAGTGTGTGTGGGAGGGCAGCTCTCCTATGAAAGGTGGGACCAGTGGGGTTCAGGGTCAGTTCTCTGGTGAGGGGGTATGTAGCTCTCTCTGGGCCAGTGAGGTGTGCGACAAGTTCAATATGGCCCTCGTACTTCAATACATGATTAAGCACATGGTTCATGTGGGCCCCTGTGGTAACACAGGCAACAGACATCAACACAGACCCCCAACTACATCAAGACCAATGATCCAGACATTGCCAGCAGTAGTAGCTTGGTACCAGTTACCACCGTGGTCCCAGGTGACAGTGCAGGCCTCTCGGATCCAAATGGGACCCATGGTAACGTGGTCCTGAACTGCAACATGGCCCTAGACAGTGATCTGGATCCTAAGCAGTCGCATAGCTTTTGATGGTAACAGGATCCATGAACATAAACATAGATCTTGGCTGCAGTAAGGCCATAGACCCAGACATGATCCCCAGTCACAGCGTAGGCCCAGATTTTACTATGCCCCTGGATGGCAGCTCAGGCCACTGCAATCTGTATTACCTTGGCAGCAGCATGACCCTTGGATACCAACACAGCTTCAGGTATTAACAGAGTCCTTGGGCATCTCCACAGCCTTCAGGGGTAACAAGAACTACAAACATCAGAGCAGAACCTCGGTTGCGGTAGGGCCGTGAATACAGATATGGCCTTCAGCATCAGTTTGGGTCTGGACAACATCCTGGCCTTGGGTTGCATCTGAAGCCACATAAATTGGCAGGGTACCAGTAGTGTTATATCCCTTGGAGCCCAACATGAGTACATGTGGTGGCCCAGATCCCAGGCATCCTTGTGGCCTTTTTTGGGGACATGGATAATGGACATCAACATAGACCTTCACTTCTGAGAGACCGTGAGCACACACATAGCCCCTGGCAGTAGTCTAGGCCTGGATGTCACATGTCTCTGGATAGCAGCCCAGGCCATTTTGATTGGTATTTCCCAGGCTGCCAGGTAGCCCTCATACAAATCATGGCTCCAGGTGACAGCCCAGAGCCTGGACACCTGCATGGCCTTCAATGGCAACAGGAACCATAAATATCCACATGGGCCCTGGTTGCAGTAAGGGCATGGTCCCAGACATGGCTCTTGGCTATACTTCTGGCATAGATGCCTCCAAAACGCTGGGTGACAGTGTAGGCCACTATGGTAGCATGGACCTCTGGCACCAAGGTGGCACATGTGGTGGCCCAGATCCCTGGTATTCTCACACTGCCTTCTGTGATGTCAGGAGTCACAGACATCAACAGCTGACCCAGACATGTCCCTTGGCAGCAGTCAAGGCCTGGATGCCACTATGGCTCTTAGGGATAAGTAGGCCTCCCTCATCTGCCCATTTCTTATACCTTTACTTTTTCAGATCAGCCTCTTTCCAGAGGACATGAGTCACCTCTGCTTCTCTATCCCATTCCCCACCATGGATTGGCTTACCATAATAGTTCCTGAAGGTTTTTCCTCTCCACCCTGTCACTTGTGAGATTCCTTTATCTTCCAGGTCCTAATCCATGTTTACACTTTAGAATGGGAATGTTTATTTTGTACCATTGTATATTGGAAGTAAGCTTGTAGCTTGGTCTTTTTCTCTTCTTTAGAAAATCAAGAAAGTCAAGAAAACAAACAAACTCACCAGGGAAGGAAATGGATAAATCTGTACAAGACCTGAAAAATGGAATATAGCAATAAAGAAAAAAACCACAACTGAGGGAATCCTGGAGATGGAAAATCTTGGTAAGAAAACAGGAACTACAATCTCAGGCATCACCTGCAGAATTCAAGAGGAGGAAAAGAGAAGTTCAAGTGCAGATGACACAAGGAAAGAAATTGATGTAGCAGCAAAAAATAAATTCCTGGCATCAAACATCCTTGAAATCTAGAGCACTATAAAAAGATCAAACCTAAGAATAATAGAAATAGAAGAACGAAAAGAATTCCAGCTCAAAGACCCAGAAAACATTTTTAACGAAATCATAAAAGAAAATTTTCCTCAGTTTAAGAAGGTACCTATAAAGGTACAAGAACACCAAACTTATCAAATAGATTGAATCAGAAAAGACACCCCACTTCACATAATAATCAAAACACTAAATATACAGAAAAAAGAAAGAATATTAAAAATTGCCAGGGGAAAAAGATAAGAAACATACAAAAGGCAGATCAGTTAAAATTATCCCTGACTTCTCAATGGAGACTCTAAAAAGTCAGAAAGGCCTGGAGAGATAGATGCCTTCAAGAGATCACAGGTGCTAAGCCTGACTACTATACCCAGCAAAACTTTCAGTCACCATAAATAAAGAGAACAAGATATTCCATGACAAAGTCAAACTTAAACAATATCTGTTTATAAATTCAGCTCTACAGAAGGTATTAGAAGGAAAGATCCATCTGGAGGAGGCTAAACACTCATGAAAATACAGAAAAAAAAATCACACACCAACAAAACAAAAAGAAGGGAAGTATACACATACTCATGCATGTGAGCACACACACACACCCATCCACCACCACAAACAATGAAATAACAGGAATTGACAATCATTGATCATTAATACTTCTCAATATCATTGCATTTAATTCCCCAATAAATACACACAGGATAACAGAATGGATATGAAAAAGGATCCATCCTTTTGCTATATACAAGAAACACACCTTACTATCAAAGATAGACATTACCTCAGAGTAAATGATTGGAAAAAGATTTCCTAAGGAAATAGACCCAAGAAGAAAGCTGGTGTAGTCATTCTACTATCTAACAAAATAGATTTCCAACCAAAATTAATCCAAAGAAGTGGGGAAGGATACTTCATATTCATCAAAGGAAAAATCAACCAAGATGACAACCTAATTCTGAATATATATGCCACAAACCCAATGGCACCCACATTTGTAAAAGAAGCATTACTAAAGCTTAAATCACACATTGAACCCCACAGATTAATAGTGGGAGACTTCAATGCCCCAATCTCACAATGGGCAGTCATCCAGACAAAAACTAACAGATATCTATAGAATATTTTACCCAAGCACAAAAGAATATACCTGCTTCTCAGCACCTCACAGAACTTTATCTATAATTGACCACATGTTTGGTCACAAAACAATTCTCAAGAGAAACAAGATGACAGAAATAACCCCCTGCATTGTATCAGACTGTCATATATTCAAGCTGGATATCAACAAAAACTGAAACAGTAGAAATCCTACAAACTCATGGAAACTGAACAACTCCCTACTAAATGACATCTGGGTCAAGGCAGAAATAGGAAAGAAATTAAAGACGTCTTAGAATTCAATGAAAATGTATGTATGATATACCCAAGCATATGGGGCACAATGGAAACTGTGCTAAGAGGAAATTTTATTGCACTAAGTGCCTACATAAAGAAATTAGAGAGAGTTCATCCTAGCAACTTAACAGCACACCTGAAAGATCTCAAACGAAAGAAGCAAATTCACCCAAAGAGGAGTAGATGGCAGGAAATAAACAAACTGAAGGCTGAAATCAATAAAATAGAAACAAAGAGAACAATACAAAGACTCAATGAAACAAAGAGTTGGTTCTTTGACCAAATCAACAAGATAGACAAACCTTTATCCAAGCTAACTGAAAGGCAGAGAGAGACTATCCAAATTAATAAAATTAGAAATGAAAAAAGGGACATAACAATAGACAATGAGGAAATCCAAAGAACCATTAGGTCTTCCTACAAAGTCCTGTGCTTTACAAAATTGGATAATTTAAAAGAAATGGCCAATTTCCTTGATAGATACTACTTACCAAAGTAAGATTGACAATTAAAATGGGACCTCATGAAATTGAAAAGTTTCTTTAAGGCAACGGACACTGTCAATAGGATAGGATAAAACAGCAGCCTACAGAATAGGAAAATATTTTCAACATCTCCACATTTGACAGAGGACTAATAACCAGAATATATAAAAAACTCAAGAAACTAGACATCAACAAACCAAATGATACAATGAAAAATGGTGTATTGATCTAAACAGAGAAATCTCAAATGACTGAGAAACACTTAAAGAAAGGTTCAACATCCTTACCTATTAGAGAAAAGAAAATTAAAATGACTCTGAGATAACATCTTACACTGTCAGAATGTCTACGATCAAAACCAAAAGTGACAGTTCCTACTGATTAGGAATGTGGAGCAAGGGGAACACTCTTCCATTGCTGATGGGAGTGCAAACCTGTATAGCCATTTTGGAAATCAATATGATAGTTTCTTAGAAAATTGAGAATTGATCTACCTCATGTGTAAGCTATAGCACTTCTGGGCATATACCCAAGGAACACTCTATCATACCAACAGGACACTCACTCATCTATGTTCATAGCAGTTGCATTCCTAATATCCCAAACTGGAAACAGCCTATGTGTCCCTTGACTGAAGAATGGATTGAGAAAATGTGGTACAGATAATAGAGTATTATTCATGGTTAAATAAAATGATATCATGAAATGTGCAGGCAAGTGGGTGGAACTATAAAAATTATCCCAAGTGAGGTAATCCAGACCCCAAAAGACTACCGTGGTAAGTACTCAGTTGTAAGTGGACAGTAGCTGTAAAGTAGGGGGTAATTATCCTGCGATCCACAGACCCAGAGAGGTTAAGTAACACAGAGAGTTTGGAACAGAGGGAATGCATGGATTTCTCTGAGAAGGGGGAGGAGATTTTGAGGGTCGACTAGGAACACTTGGATGGTAACAGGAGGGATCAGGTAGGGGGTGGAGAGAGTACTGGGAGAGATAACCAGAACTGTGGGACATCTTGGGGGTGAGGTAGAATCCTCCTGTAACGGAAACTCAGGAATCTTCTAGGGTGACCTTAAGACTCCTAGAAATGTAGGATATGGATCCTGAACTGTCTATCTTCTGTAACCAGGCAAGGTTTCCAGTGGAGGGATTGGAACCCTCCATCCCAGCCACAAAACCTTAGACCTACAATGTCCTACTTTCAAGATGTGCCGAGGTAAAGATGGCACAGAAATTGGGGAGTGACCAACCAATGATTGGTCCAGTTTGAGACTCATGCCATGAGAGGGAGCCCACTCCTGACACTGCCTGGATGGCCAGGAACCAGAGACAAGGTAGCCCAAAGATTTAGGCTAGAACCAAATAGGACTAGAAGAAAAGTCAATGAAATGATTCCTAATGATACTCTGTTTCACTTGTAGACAGGAATCTTGCCCAATTGTTATCAGAGAGGCTTCATCCAGCAACGGATGGGAGTAGATGTAGAGACCCACAACCAAACACTAGGCAGAATTTCGGAAATCCTGAAGAAGAGAAGGAAGAAAAATTATAGGAGCCAGAGGGGTCAAGGACACCACATGAAAACCCACAGA